TGCCTGCGTCGTCCAAGCCGGCGACGAGGAGATGGTTCCAGAGGGGGTCGAAGTCGGAACGGCGCTTGTACATCAGCTTGGAGAGGTACTTGTGCAGGTTTGCAGCGTTGAGGCGGGGGGCTTGATCGGTGGACAGGTCGTAGGACTCCTCAATGTCGAGGGACTGGAGGTGGCGGTCGAGGAACTGCATGTCGGAGACGTCGCCGCCAAAACCGACAACGGTAGAGTCGGCAAACTTGCGCAGACGCTTGACATCGGTGAATCGAGCAAGGGAGCCGTAGGATGCTGTCATTGGGGTTTGATTGTCAGTATTCGATCGTCTTTGAGGTGCTAGGCTGTTAGAATGGTGAGAACGGGCGTACCCAAGTTATCGGCGGCGATGACGACACCCTCTTTGAACTTGATAGCAATGACTGATGTGCCCGTGACGATGGGGGCTTGTGTCGCTTGGTTGGGGCCGTTGGGGTTCATGTAGGAGGCATTGTAGGCTCCGTAGACGTCGTCTCTAGGCTGCGGGAGGGGTTCAGTCTGTTAGTCCATGACGAGAGGCTGAGGGCACAGGGAAGTTGCATACCCGACCCCAAGCTTGCGGTCTGTGATCCATGGTTATCGATGGTATCTGGTTGAAGAAGGAAGGGAGGTCGAGTTCGCGGTAATGGGTGTCGGTATCGTCGGTGGAGGGAACGGTGGCAGAGTGTTTGGTGATGGTCGTCGGTATGTAGATGTAGCTGGGGGTTGCTGTGGTTTGCTTCGCGTCCCGTGGATGCCTCTGCCGCCGGCTGCCAGGTGCTGGTGGGTGGTGCTTGCTGGACCGCTGCGTCAGGGTGGTGCCTGACAAACGGGGCTGCAACTTGAGGTGGGCTTACCGAAAATGGTCAGCTTGGAGCTGTAGTGGTGGGAAGACCGGAGAAGTAGATGCTACTTCATTTTCAGTATCGCAATCCACGATTGGAAGGTACTCACTACAGACAGCTCCAGGGGTCAAGGTAAAACAAACAAGGAGGCCGGCCAAGGTCAGGTCGCATGCTCTCAGTCCCTCCTCGCCCGTTATTCCGTCAACACCACAGACGGCACTTGCAGCAGCGAAATCTCCCCTACTGCTCCGTCGCCCTACAATTGGCTTGTTCCTGTCTCCGGGACATCGCTTGGGACACAGCCATCCATACCTCTGTCCCTCCCTCCCCCCCATCCTTTCATCAGCCCTATCGCAGGCTTCCCAACTACATCTGCACAAAACATCCCCGATAACAGCTTAGCTGTGCCCACACAACAGACAACTACCCCACCTTCAGTAAACTTGATTGCGCGCACATCATGTTGACAGCAATCGGTCGCGCAGCGGCCCAGCGCCTGGTCATTCGCGCCGCGCCATTGAACGCCTCCCGAGCCGTCCCACGCGTCGCATGCCGGGCCTTCTCGACGACCAAGTCGGCGCATCTCCCAGCCAAAGCCGCCGCCGCCTCGTCCACCAAGACGAAGGCTAAGAAGACGACGACGACAGCCGCGAAGAAGAAGCCCGTTGCGAAGAAACCGGCAGCGAAGCAGCCCGCGGCCAAGACGAAGAAGGTTGCTGCGAAGAAGCCCGCGAAGACTAAGACGGGCCAGGGTCGCGGTCGCCCCCGCAGAGCCCCGACACCCGAGGAGAAGCTTAAGGTCCTGAAGAAGGAGTTGAAGCAGGTCGCTCTGCTTGCCAGCGAACCCTCAAACAAGGTCACGTCCGCGTGGATGGTGTATCAGACAGAGAGGTTGAGGGCGGAGACAATTGCCAGGGAAGCATTTGGGGATCGGATTACAGCTTTCGCGGAAGATTTCAAGAACCTTTCTACTCACGAGCTCCAGGTAAGCTTGTCTGTCGGCCAGAGTTGTCCTAGGCCAGGGAACGACCGTCACATGAGGATGTCATGGCTAACAAGTTAACATAGCGCCTCCAAGAGACGGCCGAGGCGAACAAGCTCAAGAACAATGCCGCGTACAAAGCTTGGGTTGAATCCCACACGCCGCTGGAAATCAACAATGCCAACAACGCGCGTAAGCGCCTTCGCGCATTGAGCCCCAAGGAGGATGGAAAGCGCCAGGTCAAACCGAGATCAATTGTTGACGAGCGCTTGCCCAACCGCCCAACGTCAGCCTTCTTGTTCTTTGTCAAGGCGCGTTGGGCCCAAGGTGACCTTCCCTCGGCGATCGGACCGGCGACCAAGGCTATTGGTGAAGAGTGGAACAACCTCACAGAGGCCGAAAAGGCCCCGTACCTGGCGTTGGCAAAGTCCGACATGGAACGATATGAGCGGGACGTCAGCAACGTCCTGGGACGTGAGGTCGAACATCGCACTCGCACTTGAGCTTCGTCGGCGCCAGTCTTGGCTTGCCGGCGGCAGGCGAGGTATCCTTGCTCCAACAGATGCGTTTGTGTGTAGAGATATATCTCCGCGTATTGGGACATCCGATGAAAACTTCTACGGGGCATGTTGCGAGCAAAATCGTGTGCGATGAACAAACAGGAGAGCTGTGTCAGCAAAACCTGCTACTTTTATGAGCATGCGGGTTCCATGATGGCACTTTTACCGGTTCGATCATCAGGGATGACGGTGCGGTGTTGAGTTTCAGATACCAATATTGAGAGGTTTCGCAACCAGTCTTGTAATGAGATTTCTCCGTGTATACATTTATCCAGCGACGCCTCTGCCAATGCCATTTGCACCACAACAGTGACGCCATTCGTTTCCAGTCCGACTCTGTGCCGCCCAACCGAAAGTCAAGAAACGCCTCGCTAGCCCAGTGAAAGAAAGTGCTGCCAAAAACGCCCTTGAGACTGTCCCCCCTACTCGTCCGCCCCGTCCTCCATGCTGTCCCCTGACTCGGAGTTGCCATGCCCGTTGGTAACCAGAATCACCTCCCCGGCGCCGTCCACCCACCGAGCCGTGTCCGTCTTCAAAGCCCTCTCGCTGGCAAGGTAAAGCGCGAGGTACACATGCCCGGCGACATATCCCCAGCAGTAGACCCTCAGCCACGACCAGTCCTCGGCGCGCGTGCACCAGACGCCCCACCCCGCGAACCCTTCGAGGATGTAGTCGGTCAGGAAGTGCCACGCCCGCTCGCGCAAGGTCGGTCGCCAGCCGGTCCAGTCGAGTATCCAGTGGCCCCTCTCGAACGGCCGCAGCTCCCTCATCTGCTCGATGGGCCGGAAGCGTTTGTCGATATTGAGCTGCCGCGCAAGTTCCCTAAGCTTGGGCGTCAGGAGGTCGTCTGGAGTGAGTTCTGCGTTGCCAACAGGGGGCCCCTCGGGATGAATCTCGAGGCGTTCGAGGTAGTTCAGGTGACGCGTGTTTGGTGGACGTATGACGCTGTAGAGATCGTCCGGGATGACGGGCCCGGCTAGAGAGGGGCTCCGCGTTGCTGATCTGGATTCTGATATTGGTGCTGAGCGCTTGTGGCGCTTTCGTGGAAGTGGTGAATCGGAGTTGCCGCGAGAGGGAGAGGATACTGATGGACGCTTGCCAGAGGCCTGGCATGGTGTTTCTTGAATCACCTGATCGAGGGGGGAGCTCTCGAGTAGAGGCCGTTTCCGAGCTGAGAAAGGAGTGTCTAGAATGACGTTTTCCGCCGGAGGGGATGGGTGCGGTGGAGGGACATCGCTGGCTGATGGTGGTTCGCTGGATGTAACTAGGACAACCTGCTCGTCGTCTTCTCCGTCATCTTCCACATCTTCCAGCTCCTTCTCTAGGCCTTGCGAGGATTGGGGAACTCGCCGCTGGCTTTGCGACGGGGTCTGCTGCGAGGCTACGGCTCCTTGACTCTCGAACTGACATGCCAAATGCTCAAAAAGCCGACTTGGAGACGAGAACTCGGCAAGGCTGATGTCGTTCGCTGGCTGAGAGTCCCCAATTACGCTTGGAGGAGCCACCCAACTAGACTGTGTAAACTGAGTCTCGGCGTCCGGTTGCGAGGATGGGGGTATATCCTGTACTGCTCCGGCTCTACCAAGGATTGGTGAGTTTCTGTTGTCCAAAACACTCCTGAAAGAAAGTTGGACACTTCCAAATGAGGCCTCTGGTAGGGTGTATCGCACTGGTGGTGATGACGGCAGTTGGGTTGCCTCGCTGCTTGGGATCGGTGCGTAAAAGGGTGTTGATGGTGAAGGTGATGGCTCACCCTGTGAGCCGGCTATGTCTGAATGCGCATCGCCTTGTAGAAACCCGCCTAATATCTTTGTCTGGCCTACTGGTTGAAAGTCAAGATACGCCTGCGCCAAGGCGCGATACCTGGCATCGTCAACAGCTTTGCACGGCGCTGCGACGTGCACTAAGATCTCGATGTTGCCATTCGTCTCCATGACGACCGCAGGCTTATGTGAGGTGCGCGCATCTCATTTAGAGTCGAGAGGAACAGAGATTCAATTTAGAGTAAGAATGTTTTATGACCCAAGGAGAAACGAAATTTGCTACAGTTCAAATTGAGACTTTTCGCATTGTGTGGTCGACCACCAAGGTCCCAACACAGGACAGGTCTTGTCAAGAAATTGAGTTCCGTCACTTGGAGATGGGAAGTGCCGACTCGCGAGGTTCCCAAAGAGCTGGCAATCGTAAAGTCAGTGCGCTTTTCGAGGTGGGGCACCTAAATCAATGTCCCCTGCCCCTCAAGTCGCATTCAGAAACCGGGGGCCCAGCCTAAAATGTATTCCTAGCGCCGCTGAAGAGCTTGGGGACAGAAAGGTCGACTGTACCACAGGCCCCAACGGCCCCCTGCATGACGCACACGTACCCGGTACGCAGCTGTCAATCGAGTGCAACCAAACCACCAAACTTCAGATTGGCCCATTCGCGCGCGCGCCGCAAACCGTGCATTGCGTTACCTCGACCTTATTCCCAGCTCACCTCAGGGACCAGAGAAACCAATCCACCAACGGACGACTCTCGACACCATCTCCCCCTCCCGACCTTTGCTCGCACTTGGACGCAAGTCAGCTCCAAAGTGCCTCCCGAGACAAACAGCCCCCAGAAAAGATGTCTTCCGAAAAGGCTCCTGTGCCAATCGACCTGGGCAAGGTCCTCGTCGTCGGCGGCAATGGCTTCCTGGGCCACCACGTCGTCAACCAGCTCCTGGCTGGCGACCGCTGGCAAACCAGCTCCGTCTCCGTAATCGACCTCCGCTGCGCGAACAACCGCAACCCAGCCGCCTCCTACCACGAAGCCGACATCACCGACACGGAAAAGATCAAGTCCATCTTCGAGGACGTCAAGCCCGACGTCGTCATCCACACCGCCTCGCCCGCGCCCCAGGCCGACGGCCCTGTCGCCAAGGACCTCTTCCGCCGCGTCAACATTGATGGCACCGCCAGCATCATCGCCGCCTGCCAGGCCGCCGGCGTCAAGGCCCTGGTCTACACCTCATCCGCCAGCATCATCAGCGACAACACCAGCGACCTGATCAACGCCGACGAGAGGTGGCCCGTCATCCGCGGCGAGCAACAGTCGGAGTACTACTCCGAGACCAAGGTATACATCCGCGCACAATGCTCTGTGACGAACTGCCCTCTTGCTGACACAAACACCTCTCTCTCTCCAGGCCGCCGCGGAAGAGCTCGTCCTCCAAGCAAACCGCCAAGACCCCTACCCCCTCCTTACAGCCGCCATCCGCCCCGCCGGCATCTTCGGCGAGGGCGACACCATGGCCACGCACCAGCTCGTCAAGATCTGCCGCGAGGGCAAGACGGGCGTCCAGCTCGGCGACAACGACAACCTCTTCGACTTCACCTACGTCGGCAACGTGGCCCACGCCCACATGCTTGCCGCCCGCATGCTCCTGGCCACCATCAAGTCCAGCATCATCCCCCTCGACAACGAAAAGATTGACGGCGAGGCCTTCCTCGTGACAAACGACAGCCCCATCTACTTCTGGGACTTTGCGAGGGCCATCTGGCGCGCCGCCGGGTCGGACAAGGGCACCGACCACGTCTGGAAGATTCCCCGCGAGATCGGTGTCGTTCTGGGCTTCTGCTCCGAGGTCTTCTTCAGCATCATCGGCAAGCCGCCCATCTTCAACCGCCAGCGCAACATCTACAGCTGCATGACGCGCTACTACAACATCAGCAAGGCCAAGCGTCTGTTGGGTTACCGCCCCATCGTCAGCCTGGACTCAGGTATCAAGAGAGGTGTGCAGTGGTTCCTGGACCAGGAGAAGGCGGGTAAGGTCAGCGTCAAGGCGTGAGAGGCGACGATATGATGATGACGAGCGGTGATTTGCAATCTGACTATATCTCCCAAAAGAAAATGGTGATTTTTTGGTGTAAATATAAATATACATAACCCCTATCATAAAAGGGACTAATAAACGGCCTTCGGCCACGTCAAGAGCTAAAGACAACATGTTGGGAAAAAAACAGAACAAGCAATCGTTAGCGACAGAGAGTATCATGAGGGAAACCTGCAGGGAAATGTTTTCCCGCTTTGATCGCATTAGCGAAACTATCTGGTCCTTTCACCTCGTTCGAGCTACAAAAACAAGGCTCTTGTCGCCTCGTACAGCCTTGAGCCCAAGGCAAAAACAGGCAACTTTTCCGCCTCACCCCCTCTCGCCTGTCGCCTTCTCGTTCCTCTCGAAGTCCTCCAAAATGGTAATCCGACATCCCCATTCCAACAAACAGAAGCGAAGCTATAGTAGGTCTCGCACGCAAGCCAAGAAGAAATCAAGGCTCGGTCAACCCATGTGAATCAAACATCCAGCCAGTCCTGCCCATCGACAAGTCGATGGACCCTGAGGCCATACTCCAAACCAAACCGCCAAACCAAAGCCAAACCTCCCTCATCCCCAGCAGACGACCAATCATGTCGTGAAAGAAGACCAACAGACTGCAAGAGTCCCTCGTTTCATGGTCTGATGCTTTACTCTCAGAGAAGCTAAGAAGTAAAGGGTTCGAAAAAAAGCTTTGAAAAGAACTCGAAAAATTCATTCATGCCGCCTTGTCGTGAGTAGAAGTAACCGAACAAAAGGGAAATCTTTTTGTTCCTTTTGATCAAAAAGGGTTAGGAACGCCGCCAACGATGCATGGATATGTGACTCTCAAAACCCAAATTGCAATCCCAATAGAATGCATATGAAGCAGTGCATGCGAATGGATAGCAGCACACTTCGTTGTGTGTATGTGTGCACAGCCTGCCACCTTTGTGACCTAACAGGGCTATGTATGTCCACCAACTCCCACACCACCGTTCTGCCGTCCCCAAGCAGCAGAGTTGCGCCATTCACGCTTCTGTGCATCAGTTGGACCCTCGGTATCAGAGTGTTCAGGCTGGTTGGCATAGGGTGAGGGGTGACCGTTCTCTTCATGTGGCCGCCACCTTTGAGGAGGTGTGTTGGCGTTGGGATGAGGATGGTAAGGCAGGACCATGGTAGGCAGAGGGTCCTGTACAGGGCGGACACTGCTCTCTTGCTGTTGCCACAGAGCGGGGTCCGTCTCAACTCGTCGGGGAGGTGGGCGAGTGGAGTTGTCCGGTCTGTTAAAGACCTCATTGACTTCGCCCAATCCTGGTCTCTGGCCAATGCGGTCCTGGTAGCGCTTCAGGATATCCTTGGTGCTCAGATCAGCACCGTTTCCGGAGCCAAACACGAAGGGATCATTCACTAGATCCATGAGCTCGTCGGGAACCTATAACGCAATATCAGTTAGTGATGCTGAAACAAGCGTGTGAGTGTGGAACATACCAGGCACATCTCCTCAATGTAAGTGATCATGTCTTGTACAGCAACAATAGCGAACATTGGATCGCTGTCCAGAGCAGGAGCTTTGTTACTGCTGTAGAGGATGTTGGGCGCGATAACAGTCGCCAGGTTCTTGATGTCCATTCTCGAACCAGCCTCTTCATCAACCTGATGGAAAGATCCAGCCCACTTGAGGAAGCAGAACAGAATCTCCAAGGAGTCCCTGTGGACCTTGGGAAGCAAACAGCAGATGAGATGAAGATACTGCTTTCTCTTGGCATCATCCTGAATCTTGGCAACAACAATCCAAAGACGTTGAAGCTTAAATGTCATGAGGGGGTCGGGCAGCTCACGCAGGTAGCGCTTCAGCAGTGCGGCGACTTGGACAACAGGCTGGTCCATGAAGCTGATGTTATCGCAACCCTCACGGTCAATCCTCTCCACAAGTTCAGTGAGCTTCTTGATGTTGCCGTTCTTCCTGAAAACACCCTCGACCGAAAGGTCCATCTTTCTCATGGAGCTGATGATATCATCAATGATGGCAGGGATTTTGAGAGCTCCAGGTCCCACACCATCCGTCGACTCGGCACCGTCCTTCTCAATGATAATCTCCAGAGGCACTCCGAAGATTCCCTTCTTCTTGGCATTCTTTGGCCTGTCGTTCTTGAACGCCTTACCCAAGTTCTTCCAGAACGTGGGCTGCTTCCTCGACTCGATGAAACTTAAGAGCTCGTCCAGAGTAAACTCGTTCTCGACCGCGGGATGGAGGGTCAGGACCGCCAAGTGACGGACAATGAAGTACTCTAAGCCCGAAAGTTCCGAAAAGTACTTCCTTCCCAATCGCTGGGGCAAAGGGTCACCTGCGCGGATCTCGGCCTCTCTGCCCGCAGACTGCGATCTCTGGTGACCCATGGGGTCAGTTGCGGGCGAACGAAAAAGCTCCTGGCGGCCAGGCTTGTTCTGCTGCTCCTTGACTTGCTCGGCCGCGACAATTCTGGGGATGTCGTCCAGGGTCAGGGCGTCCTGGTGGTTGAACATCTTATCCGTGGTTCCTTCGTCGTTTGGGCCGCGGTCTTCGACGATCGAAAAGCCTCCATCGCCTCGTCCAAGGTCCTCGCCGGCAGATCCAGGGCGGACGCTGCGTCCCTCGGGGCCATCCATAATGCGCGAGGTTCGAGCCTTTCTGAAGCTAGATGATAAGTGCTTGTCGAGACGAGTACTCCTCAAGCGGCGAACGTCGTTCAGCGTGTTCTCGTAAGAAGACTCGCGGTTGTGCTCTCTTTGATCTCCAGCGTACGATTTGGAGCGGTTGTCAGAGTTGAGGTAGGGTGCCTCGCCTGGGGCAAGAGTTCGAGGGCCCTCGCCTGGTCCGTACCCATCCATGTTCTGGTCATCGTTCTGCCGAGGCAGGGCACCGCTGCTTCGGAGAATGTCCAACAACCTTGCGAGCGCCACCTTGAGAAGGAAAACGTACTGCTGCAACTTTGTGACATGCTCAAAAGGTGGCATGTCGTCGCTGTTGATGCCGACACAGTTGGTGCACCAGATCGAGTTGTCGAATGCGTTGTAGCGCGCCTCCTCCAGTTTGCGGCCGAGCTCCTTGTTGCAGCTTTTGCAGCCCACACAGGCAATATGCCACCGTCTCTCTGAGTTCTTCGCACACTCATCCTCGACTGACTTGTTGCAGAGCGCACAGTGGTCTGAGTCCTTGGCTGAGAGCCGAGAGTTACCGGTGATAGCCTGCAAGGTGTTGTCGTCACTCTTCACAGTGTCCAGCTCATTAAGGTCATCTAGGAATTGGTAAATGCCGTCGGAGCTCTTAGACTCCTTCTCAAGGCGGAGCGCTCCCTGGAGACAAATGCGGATGAGGAGCTTGAGGTAGTGGGCGAGACCTGTGACGAGGGACAGAAGCTCCTGGGTGACGCCAAGCTTCCGTGCTCCCGTGTCCTGGGTCTTGGACAGCAGAGAAAAGAAAGACACTATCTTCTTGCAAAGAAGCTTGGCTTCACGGCCGTACGACAACCCTATTTCTGGCCAGTTAGCAAAACCCGCAAGACGTACGCCAGAGTAACAAACCTTTCAGCTTCAATTCGTCCATGGACAGGTCCAGACGATCGGCGGACTGGAACAGAATTTCGACGTGCCAGATGAACTTCTTCGCGACGAGCACGCCGTCGACGTAGGCGCCATTGCTAACGTGCAGAAGCATGTCGGAGATGCAAGCGGCGGACGACTCCTCGAAGGTGGACAGGACACTCCAGATGCGGTAGACTTTCTCCTCCATGCGCTCTTCCTCCTGCCTAATGATTTCGCGCGTGGCGGGGTCATCGCTCTCCTGGGGTATCTCGGGGGTTTCGCTCGGCTGCGTAAGTCGTACATTCCAAAACTTGTGAATCATGTAGCACTCGGGATGCCAGTGCTGGTTCTGACCGTTTCTGAAGATCTCCACAAACTGCTTGAGAATGGCAGTCTGGCAGCCGTTGCATCGTTGCGCGAACTGCGTGGAGTAGTGGTAGTGACAGTACACATGGCCATCGTGCTCATAGTAACTATCTTGAGCGCCGAAGACTGTGGGACACATTGAGCATGTGAAATGGTCGACATGGTACTTGCGGTCGAGCGCTGTGATGTAAGAGCCACGCAGAGCCCCTCCGCACTTGTAGCAGAGGAGACCAAGCCTGCGGAAGTAGTCTGTCTCGCACAACGGGTATTGACTCTCGCCATTCTCGTCGTCGACGGGGAAGAACTTGGAGGCAACAATCTGGCCGCAGTCCTGGAAGGGCAAAGGTGTTAGAAGGGGCCAGAACGGTTAAAGGGGGAGGGTCTCAGGGCGTACTCGACACTTGAAGCAGTCCAGATGAAAGGTTCCATCCAGTGCGCGCACGAATTGACCGGTGAGAGGCTCTCCACACTTTTTGCAGATTCTCTGTTGACCGCTAGCTGATCGTGCACCACCTCTTCCCTTGGATCTGCTGCGTTCGCGGCTCTGTCTCGGGTCGCCCTCTCTTCCAGGGGTTCTGGGACCAGGGGAGCGTGAAGGCTGCTGGTTGCGATAATTGCTGTTGTCGGGAGTTCTGCGTCCTCCGTTCTGCCATCCTCTCTCGCCAGGGTACGCGGGTTCCATTGGGGCGGCGGGGTGGGCATGCAGGCGGTCGTCGGGCGCCGCATGATCGTAATCCGACGCCATGGTGAAGTGGTGTGTCGGTGTGTGCAGGCTGATGGTGTGTTCGAATTCGGGACTCTCAGCTGGCAGGGCGTCGTGGATTGAAAGCGGCCCGTCAGCCTCGAGTGTCGGACTTGGGAATTGGCAGGAAATTATCGGTCGGCATCAGCTGGACCGTAGATTGGCCGGGGTCGTTGTTGAGGAGATGGGTATGTATTGGGGCGTCGAATTGAAGGAGTCGGGTTGTCGTCGCACGGCGGCGGTACGGTGCTGAGCAATACTAAATAAGTCGGGTAATGAATGGTCGGCAGCTACTCGCGTGACTGGGTGACGACGGCAGGCCACG